TTGCTTTTTGTCTGAAACACAGTATACATTAAGGAGGCCTTAATACTACTTCTAGAGAACTAAAAAGAAAAAAGGAAAACTAAAATGGCCAGAACTCATCCCAAATTATATGCCTAACTGCAGCAAAGACAGACAGATAGACAATCAAGGTTAAACAAGAATAATAGTATTTTAGGTACCAATCTAGCCCGCCAAGAATATAATATATGCAGAGTTCTTGTTGATGAAATCAACAATGCTATATGTGTGATATATCAAGAATGAAGAAACACTAAATTAAGTGTCATTAAATTAGCAGAAAAGCCACGGGATAATGCAAGCCAGTGTATATATAAACGAATAACAAACACACATATACGAGAAAGTCAATGATCATTTCAAAAGCAACAGTTTCAGTAACTCCAATTGAGTTATTAGTTCAGTGGATTAAATACAAACTTAACGATGGTGTGACAGAAACTTTAGAGGTAACTAATAAACAAACAACATTGCCTCTTAGGAAGTAAATGTCAAACTCATAGCAAAGTTACTCAACTATAGAGAATCGTTTCCGTCAGATGGATCAAATATGCACAGGCAAGCTATGAAGGTAAAAAAGTTTAGGCAATGCTGCCAAAACAAAATTGCAAGAGAATTAGCACCTCGATAACTTATCTATAGTTCAGAATAAATGTTTTTAATTTAAGGAACAGCTTATATGGTTCGTAAAGTAAAAAATTATCATTTATTGAGACCCAATTATTAACATATGAGCAAATAGCAAGTAAAAATCAATAACGTTGAGAATTTGAAAGAGATACTGAAAATGGGAAATAAGCTGCAAACGAGTGCAAACATGTACTTGATTCTTAAAAGTAGCAGCAGCTAAAGAAAGGTCATACCATTTGCTGCACAATAGAACAATCTCCAAGTTCAACCGCAGGGGTAAACTTCTGCTTCTCATTCAGGAAAGGCATTACACTGGTGGTGCCCTTGCCACTGAGATTAAAATGTACTCCTTTGTGAAGACATCCAAGTGGTTCAGATTTCTTAAAGAAGCTTAAGTCCAGAAGACTATTTGTCTTTAAATCTTTCCGTGTCGCCTGATCTTCTTTGCAACTGGCCTCTCGTCTAGACAATGGAGAATCCATTGCATCTCTGACATGTGGAAAATATTGTTTATCATATTGTTGAGAGGCCAAAAAGCTGTTAAGAGAAAGATCTAACCCCTTCATTGTAGATACACCTAATGCTGATTGACAGGGAACAGCTGTGGGCTTAGATTGCATGATTCCTACACCTCTGCTTGTAATATGACTTTCTCTTAGTATGTCATTATTCCAAAGAACTGTAGAAGCCTGCCCCTCATCAACTTGATGCATCTTGTTTTTCTTTTTGGATGAATTATATCTTCTTTCCATGTTTTGAGCATGCAAAGGACAAGGAACCAATCCCCTGCCTGCAAATGTGGTGGATACGGATTTGACCGAAACACTGTCAGTGGCATTACCTGCTCTTAGATCATCTGTTTTCTTTTGAACATCATTTTGTAAACTTTCTTCATATAGCACCAATGGAAAGTTCTCATTAACAGACTGGGACTTTTCATTTTTCTTCTTAACAAAAGGAACATCAACTCCATTATTAGTACTCAAGTGATTCTTCGTACCAGCTTGTAAGCCTATACCCAAAAATGAATTGTCTTCGAAGTCAGAACTTCCAGCTGCACTTGTAGTTTCAGCATCAGCATTTGAGGACTTAACTCTTTTGTATGCATTACTTCGAGGGCTCCTTTCCTGGGGTGTCCAGTCATCATCTTGAGATAACTTCTTTTTCCTATTTTGAACGACCCCACTTAGGTTATTTCTTTGGCTAGACATCTGACTTTGGGAATCAGAAAGCACATCCAACCCTCTTGATGCATTGGTGAGGGCATTGGATGGGGAATGATCCTCTTTTCTCAAGTTAGAAGTGTCTGCACCTCCATTTTTACCCAGCAACTCAGTCAACAGACGTACCTTACGAGTTTTTTTGCGATGCACACCACCTGGATTATCTTGGTGATTATGCTGGAATCTACTTCTAACCAAGACGTCCGTACTTCTGGTTGATGTATTATCGCACTCATCTAATTCCAGTGAAGGATGTTCACTGGTATGACCCTGGACCATATCAGATGCCTCATCAACCATACCAGCAACCTCATATGACCCAAGAGCTATCAAATTTGCATTTTGATCATTTAACGAATTTTCTTTTCCTTTTTTACAAGTTTCTGTGGAATTCCTAACCATTCGTTTAAGGTTCCTGTCAGCACACTCAATAGCAGTAACTTCAAGACATTCACTTCCAGCCTTATGAGAGTCATCAGATCCATTGCAATTTGCCTCAAGGAAAACTGCTATATATATATCAAAAGCATTAGTGTTGATAAAACCAGAACACACATACTATCAAAAGCATTTTTTATCACTAAGATTTACCTCTGTCACTGATATAATTCCTTTCTTGCATTGAACTTGATGCAACCTCAGCTGCAGCATCAGTTAACATGGGAATTTCCCCATTCGAATTCTCTTCGGTGGCAATTTTATGACCTGCACAAAACATGATAAATGAACCAAAGACTCTAATAAGATAAGAGACTGTGAGGACTAAGCCCAGATTGAAGTGTACCTGTAACAGGAATTTTTGCAGGTTCAGCTTTCCTTTCTTTCTTGTCACTACATGACGAAGGATGACAGCAACTTCGATGCAGAACAGCAGGAGCATTGGAGTCAACTTTATTCCTCTCCTCAATAGTATTTGGACTTTGAGCTTCCTGAACATCTGATACATACATTACCTTTATCAAGGCACCATTAAAAGGGAAATTTATTTTTAAGCATAATGACGACATTGTTTAAGAGTTAAAGACAGAACCAATGTCACTTGCAGTGCCGTCAGCAGTGATCTCTTGATGGCAGTTCTGGCACTGCCACCATCTGAATTTCGGAACAGTTAAAGGAGGAAGATTAGATGTTTGTCCATCAGAGTTATCATGGTTACCATTTAATGCAAATGGCCAACATCTCTTCCAGTCTCTCTTGCGAACTTCTGATACGTATCCACTGCACTCACAGAAAAAAAAAAATTATCTATTACATGGAAAAGAAACCCAGTGTAACTCTTCACTCTGATTGCTGAGATAACTAGATCCCCTATAGGTTCACTTTCTCCATTCTAAGTTGGCACTTTTCACACATCGTTATCCATTATGCAGATTAGCTAGTGATTAAAAAATCATTTGAGTCAATACTATTATTCACTTATCTAACTAGTAAAATATATAGGTTACCAAAAGACTACCAAGTAAACCATTCATAATTTTGCACATCCACCATCCATTCTCTTCAAATAAAAAAGCAAAAGACTAGAGAAGCATGTAAACTGGTGGGGACAAGTCTGTATGCACAAGCTCATGCACATGAAAAAAAAGGGCAAGAAATAAGTACAAGGATGTTAACTGGGGTGAACAAGTGTGAGCAGAAGCTCATGCCCATGCATGTAAATTTTTGGAGTTAAAACGAGATCAAAACAAGCTCAAATTAATGATTCCTTCTCAATTAAGGAGAAAATAATGAACCTATATAGTACTTATATATATACGTATTGCCTATATTAATCATATGATGCTAGTGAATGGAAGATTTAGAATCTATCTATCTACACACATGAACATACACCAACAGAATCAACAAAAGGAGACATACATGCAGTGGAGGACACTAACAATGCTTCTGTAAAACTTGAGAAAAGCAAGAATATAATGCAGATAGGAGCAGGCCTCACCGAATCGAGAAATGTTCACAGTTTTTTATGTCTATTGTATCATTAGAACTGACAAGATCTATAGAGATTGAGTTGATCTTAATCGATGATCCCACAGATTTGGTGAAAATATTTGAATCGCCAGAATGATGAGTGTCCTCCACCATGATAATTCTCTCTTCAAGCAACTATTGCTGCAATGCCTAAACATAAAATGTTTTAGGCGCACATAATTAAATCTTTGAATAACATGGTAATGGCTCACCAAAAGAGTATACATAAAACTTGATAATCTGCTAAAATTACGAAAGAGCTGTGCGCAGATCCATATGCAAGAAATGAAAATCTCTTTTGATCTTAAATTCTAACTACATCAACAGATCTTTGGTAAATTATTAAAACCCATAATAGGGTTAAAATATATAAACTTCAACTGATTGAATGTTAACATTGGTTATTGTTATTAGCTCCAGTGGAGAAGTAAACGAAAGATGTAAGAAGCTGAAACTGCCATAAGTATGGGGATTTGGAGCATGAAATAACAGCCTTAGGCAACATATACATAATTAACTATTCAAGGAGAACAATTAGGAACCCTAGATTTCCATGAAATTAAGCATAAACATGTGGGTAGCACGACTTTCCTCTTCTAATCGTATTACAACAGTTCATGCAGTTAAATCCACACATTTCAGATGTAAAGTAGATCATGAAATAACACATAGGAGAAACCGGCGCATTAGGGTTTCACTATATGTGAACCATAAGTGCTTCACACGAAGGAGAGAAACTATCAAATGTCACAACATAAACGATAAAAGCTACAAAACGCATTTTGAACTGAACTCGAACGCTCACGAAATCAAAGACTTCAATTGTTAAGTCAAATTTTTAGGGTTAAAAGTCTCCAAATTGACAGCAAATGAACAGTAAACATAACTTGTAACCAAACGAAAAAATCAAAACGCGCATAGAATATTGGATAATCAGACTGATTTCACTCCGACAATAAAAACTCAGATGAGCAAAAAGCGAAGGAAGACTGCAGTAAACGTGGTGAGCACAGTGAACTGACCAAAAGACCTCAATCAAACGAGCTCAAAGTAAGCTAAAAGACGACGATAAATCCAAACAGACGGACGAAAAGCAGAAACAGAAAACAGTAATTAGAGTATAAAACGTACCTTCTCTCGCTCGATAATCAGGCAAAGAATCCCATATCGACTGATCTCCGATTCTCGACGGCGAGGCAAGAAAATGGTATCAGCAGATAGAGCATTCCACAGGAGATAAGAATATACCTGGTAGAAGAAGAGATTCCCCGCTGGTAGAGAACAAATTGAGTGCGAAGCTGGTAGAAACCCTAGCTTTGCAGAGAAACCTTCGATTTTTTAGAGAGAGAGTGGGGGAGAGAGAGAGAGAGAGAGAGAGAGATTTTATCTTTTGTCTTGAAAAGAGGTTTTGTGTATTAAAATCACCTCACCTCCAAAAACATGACATGCCATGTCATAACCGTATATCTCTTTTTTCTTTATTTATTTACATTCCTTAACCAATAGAAAGCATCCACGTGGCATCAAAGTGCGTGTCTTATCACAGTCCATTATGCTTCAAAAGGAAACCCTAGAGAGGAAATGGTAATAGTACCCTCCTCACGCGTTATTTCCACGCTCTGTTGGGAAAATAGTTTTCCCTAGTCCTTTTCATGTCATTTTGGTCCCAAGATTCCTTCCACTTAACGCCTTCCCATTGGTAGTGCAACCCACGCTCTTCTAA